AGAAGCAGGACAATACTCTTGTTTCATCAAAGATAATCTACTAAAGGATCATAAAAAGGGATCACAGAAAACAACTCAATTCTAAATTAAAGTTCCAGCCGTTTGGAGTAACTGTATCTAGATGGAAGATCCACTTGGACTCTAATTGTAAAAAGATATTTTTAACATCTGGTAAGTTATCCTGGTGTGGCGTATAAGCCTGTAACACCAAAAACATATGTCCTCATCTGTATGGCCATATTCAATGTAGTGTTGCACCAGGGGTGCATCCACAATAGAATTCTTATCATACATACATTTTTCTTACACGGGCATATAATCCCATACATGACATGTGGTGATTGGCAAGTTGAAGAACAGTTCAATTTCCAAATGCATCCAGAGTGTGGACCCTGAAACTCTAACGTTAAGTGACATGTGGAAGACCCTGCAGTGCCAACATTTAGAATGGGCCTGAACTGCATTAGGAGATGTCTCCAGTTGAAGAATATCCGATCTAAGGATTCTTTAATAGTTTTGCCCCTCCTCAGACCAATTAATGGGGAAAGATTGCGTCTGGGGATGTGTTGAATTACGTACCAATGTTTGTTTATTAACTCCTGTATTGAATTCAGTATTTTGTTTATTTATATTCCCAGTGCTTTGTATTTTGATGTTTTGAATGTTTACTGTAAGCTGCATGGAGAACAGTTCATTGTGGGAAAAGTGTCATAAACACAATAAATCAATTAACTTCACCCTTCTCTTCCCACCACACCCTCCCTAAATTTGTTCTGAAGCGTATGGGGAATCCCTACTACACACAGGGGCACACAGGGGAGGAGAGGGGGAGAACATTTTGTTGTGCAAAAATATGTATTCTATTTTGGATACAAACCTTTGTGGTTAGGATTAGCTTTAAGACAACTACCAGCCCTCCTTCTCAGACTTATGATAGAAATTATGTTTCTGAAAGTCTTCTGAGCTATTCATTTGTGTCCCAATTATCATTATTTTTGTCATTGTCTACATTTGAGCTGAATTCTGAACCTTCAGCACTAATTGGCGGCATTTTAAATGCCAATGTGCTGATCCAAAATATTCAAATGCTCATCAAATCTATTTGCTCCCATGAAATAATGGACTTTTACTCTTCTCAAATTTATGGAATTAAACACTTTTAAATTCAGAAATAAAAGGGTGAGCAAGCCACTTTAAACTACCAAATGAAGCATGCTGACCACAAAGGTTTGCAAGCTTGATGGCACTTTTGATTGCCGAGTCGTCTTATCACTCTGACAATGTTGACTCTTGAGCCAATAAAGAAAGTAGGATTTCAAATGTGTAAAGTATATTAGAGATGTTTGGAAATATCTGCAGTTTAATATCTTTTAATTCTGATTTAAAGGTATACATAACAGTCCAGAGCGTCTGCATATGGTGACTCATATCAGCAGAGCGAGTAGCTCTGCATGAATTTATTTCCTCTATGGGACACTAGACCAGTGTTTCCCAACCTTGGGGCTCAGCTGTTTTTGAACTACAACTCCCATCATCCCTAACTAGTAAGACAAGTGGCCAGGGGTGATGGGAATTGTAGTCCAAAAACAGCAGGAGAACCAAGGTTGGGAAACACTGCACTAGACCTTGGAGGCAGGGAACCGTTGCAGATCATACTGCCTGGTGTGCTTGAAGGGGATCAATGCACTGAGGCTAGTAGTTGCAATACAGTGTTCAGCAAAAACAGCACCGCTCCTTCAAGTGCACAGATTTACAGAATATGTGAACCGGTGGTCCACATAGTATGTCCTACTGTTTGGCAGTGGTTCATGCCACAATAAATAAAGTCTTTAAAGATGCCACAGGAGTCAGTGGTTTATAACAACAGTAAGTCAATTGTTAAGCATTAAGATGGAACATTGTACAGTAAGGTATCAAAACTATATTTGTATATTGTGCTGCAACTAATTTATGTAAACAGTGCTCAAATTTATAGCTTCAAATATATATTAACAGGCATTGTAAAAGAAGGTGCTTTCTGCTTGTTGGTACATTGGTAAACTTTTTCATAATGCCTGCTGTATTTTCAACAGCTGCTTATATGTTCAGTTTGAAGCATGGTTAAGATTAGTCATGTACAGTCTTTTGAGACAGTAGGGAACATGATATTTCTGACCAGCTGCAAAAATTGTAACCTCATAGATGAAAAATGAAAAGAATAAAAGAAAAAGAGCTGTTGCCATATCAGTCTTTCTCCCCTTTATGCTTTTGAATTCCTATGAACCTATTATAGAGCTCTAATGTCAAAGTTGAGCAATGATCCTGCTGTATTAGGGTTGTTTCTAGTTCACTTTAAGTTTCTTAATTCAACAAGATTATTTGTGATTGTATTGTGCATTTAAAATCCAATCACGCAATTATTAATAAATTGTAATTATTCAAATTATAATGGGTTTAAAGTAATTTAAATTACCATTTCTTGATCATGAACGGAACAAAATTAGAAAGACTGTTTAAGGTCATATTGTGTTTCAATACTACAGTTAAATTGTTCCAAATTTTTCATTCTCCTCTCTCCCTTAAGTAATATAAAGAAGCTTGGTGGAAATAGGCTGCTACAAGTTTACTTGGCAGGAAAAACCTTTCTTCAGTTGGAAGCTAATAATTACCCTATTTCCCTAACTTTCTTACTGGAAAAAGCAGGACATAAATATTAATACATTTAAGCAGAGGATGGATGACCATCTGTCATGTATACCTGAAGGAGCGTCTCCACCCCCATCATTCTGCCCGGACCCTGAGGTCCAGCGCCGAGGGCCTTCTGGCGGTTCTCTCATTGCGAGAAGCAAAGCTACAGGGAACCAGGCAGAGGGCCTTCTCGGTAGTGGCGCCCGCCCTGTGGAACGCCTTCCCATCAGATGTCAAAGCGATAAACAACTCCCTGATATTCAGAAGACATCTTAAGGCAGCCCTGTTCAGGGAAGTTTTAATGTGTGATATTTTAGTGTATTTTTGGTTTCTATGGAAGCCGCCCAGAGTGGCTGGGGAAACCCAGCCAGATGGGCGGGGTACAAATAATAAATTATTATTATTATTATTAGCTAATTGAGATTCCTGCATTGCAGGGGGTTGGACTAGATGACCCTCGGGATCCCTTCCAACTCTGCAACTCTGCAATTCTATGATTCAGTGGTTGAAACTGAACATTCCTATAGTTTGTTTTGATACAACATTCATTCAACATTAGGAAGAATTCAGATTTTTGAAGAAACACTGGAAGAAGGCTATGATAATGAACATGTAATATTTTTTTCAGCGAGGGAGCGAGGGAGGCAGATTGTTATCAATTAAGCCTCGAGAGGTAGTTAACCTTTGGTCCTCCAGGTGTTGCTGAACTACAACTCTCATGAGAACCAGTTGGCATGGCCAGTGGAATGATGGGAGTTGTCATTCAGGAGGGGCACAGATTGGCCACATCTGCCAAACATACAGTGCTTTTTTACTGTGAGGACTATGTTGATGAACTGACAGAAAATAAGTATTACTGCTAAAAGGAAACTTAAAAAACAAATACAGCATCATAAAATCATTTAGAGACATCTCTATGCAGACCAATGTTTAGGCCTTATAATGCATTTTTCATTATTATTGTTTATTATCTCATTTTTATTGCACTCTTCATATTAGCACCACAGAGTAGTTTACTAAAAGAGATACAAAAATAATAATAACCAAAACTAAAATCAATATAGCAAAATAATGAAAAACTAAAGCGGAAAGAAAATACTTCTAATGTACTAAACCAAGTTGTTAACACCCTCACAATGACTCAAAGGCCAAGTGAAAAAGTGTATTTTGCACGTTTTTCCTGTAATTGCATATCCACAAGTATAGAGCACTGGTATGAATGCATAACTTTCCCTTCCTCTGTTTCAAGGCCAAGAAACATACTCTGAGGCAGTGGAAAGCAGGTTCAAGCATTCCCAAGTCCTGGAACAGCATCCTTTCTCTCCAGGTACTAGAACCACAAGTCCCAAAGTCTTTGGCAGGAAGCTGATGCTACATGCATAGTTTCTGCTAAGGAGAAAGCCCCTGAAAAGGGTGAAGAGTAATATGTCCTTAGTACTATATTATTATTTGCTTGGATAATTCAATCCAAACATCTTGTTTCTTCTAAGATTTCTAATTTATGAATTTATTTTGCTCTTTGACATATAGAGCGGCACCTCTCAACTACATTGTCCTCTATATATCCCAGGACAACAGTTCCTGTTATTTCTCATTCTCCCACAAGTTTTTGGCTATATGTGCAGTATTTAAACTGTTTATCATATCCATTCTTAATCCTTTTTTGTCCAGCCTAAACAGACTCTGTTCTTTCAAAGTTGAGATTTGTACTCTGAACCCTATATAGAATCCTAGAATTGTAGAGTTTGAAGGGACTCCAAGGGTCATCTAGTCCAAACCCCTGCAATGCAGTAATCATATATGTTTCACTCACCTGTAGCTTTACTTCTAAACACACACACACACACACACACACACACACACACTGTGGTAGTCCAGCTGAGAACTAACTAACTAGCATTAAATGCAGCAACTTCTTCCAGTACACCATAGCCATGCCCTTCAAGTGTTCATTACTTTTGTTCCTTTAAGGAAGGTAGTTAAGGATATATATGGCAAATTCCATAAGTGTTGTATAACCTAGATATCAAAGTCAAATTATCAGCTTCTGTTCAGTCAATGGTGCTATAATTCAAGAATGCTGATCGTGAGATCGAAGTGTAGCTTTGGATTATATCTGGCCCTGTACTTTACAAGACAACTACTATAATTACTTGGCACATGTTCCTCACAAGAGGAATGAATGCAATATGTCATTGTTGTAAAATGCTTAACGGTATGTTTTTGTGCATAAACCCATTTTTTCTCCATAAAAATAATTTGAGTTTACTGGGTAAACTTGTGAAGCAGCATTTCTCTGTCATTATTATGTTATTACTTTTACTTTTATTTACTTGTATTTTGGTAGCATTCAGTATCTCCATTCAGGATCAGATCCTCATCATGATATTCAGTGTTCCAACATAGGGTGGGCTGAGCAGCAGTCCCTGTAGAGAAAATCACAACATCAAAGTTGCATTTAGAGGGGCTGAACCTTCTTGGAAACTGAAGGCATTTTAAAAGTACTCGTTCCTCATGGAATCCTGGCAAGAAAGATAAAATTGTAGCTATAATCCCACATCCATTTATTCCATTATATTTACACACCCACACTGACACACTCTTGCAAAATTTAGGCCAACACATTGGATTTTGGTTCAAACAGAATAAAAAAAACAGTCTGTTACTATGTTTTATATACAACATATTGTTTGTGCCCTTAGTATTAACAAATAAAAAGAGATTTGCCACAATGCAATATGCCTGAGGCAACCTATAAGTTACAGCAGTAAGAGATATTCTAAAACAAATGTACAATATTTTATTTATTGCAAATAATCTCATACATTCCCACACCCTTTAGTCAATGAAGACCATAACTATATTTCAGAAGAAAGGATTAATGATTAACACCATCCCTTTTACAGGCTTAGAATAAGTCCTTGTCCATACTTAATGCAATAATAAAATTCTCTTCAGTTGATTAAAATACGCCCAGTATCTAAATGACAGGGGTGGGAAAACATAGACTCATTACAAATAATGCAGGACTGGTAAAGAATTGCAGAGAGTGAATTCATAAGGGGGAAGAGGGTTGTCAGAGCACCTCCTATCCATCAGGCTGCCACTACATTTGTTGAAGCATATACCAGTTCTTCTGGCTTTGCATGGCTTCCATAAGAAGCCGCCTGAGAAAAGGTTAAGTCCTCTTCAGTGCTCTAAAATAGCTAACAAGGCCTGATCAGAGCTCAATATAAGGCAGAGTGTGGAATTCTGATGATCAGCTGATGGCACACTGCCCTCTTAGGTACTGGGAACCAGTCCCTGCTCCTCTTCAGTTCCTCTGTTTCTCATCTGTAGCCACTCTTCCAGCTCCTCCTTCCACTTATCAGCCTCCTCGAGTGCACCCTGGCTCCACTTTCTTCTTCCAATTGCCTAAGCTGAATGTCTGGGGAAAGATTCCCACCAGCTTTGAGCACCCTCCCTAAAAGGCTTTCCACAGGCTTTTCTGGGAAGCTGGCTAGCTACTGACACTCTTCAGTCAGCATTGTAACTTAATCCCACCATCCCGCTTTGGAATGCTCCAAGTGGCTTCAAAGGTCATGCTCAGAATACGCAAGCTCATTACAATACACTGAAGCTGGAGCTGCAGCAGATACTTGCCCTTAAGGAGAACAGGCATTCAATGAATGGTGGGGTCAAGTGTTAACCCAACACTTTCTTGGATTTCTCTGGGTCAAGTTTTAACCAATAACCTACAGAATGTGCAGTTATTCTTAAGTAGAGGTGAACTGAAACTAACTTGCTTACTTTGGAACCTTGTTTGCAGGCAGCAAAGTTGCACCCCTATTTTAATCAATGCACGAAGGGAGCTAGAGGTTTTCCCCTGACACTGAATAACCCCCCACCCAACCATTCAGTGCTGGAAGACAGGACAGCATCTACACATAGCCTGGGCAACCAGACAACTCTCCTGATCTTCCAGCAAAATAGTAGTGATTATTGTGGCTGTAACAGGCATAGAAGAAACAAATCTGGAAGTAAATTGAGTAGTTTTTTCCAAGGGGATTTCCTACCCCACAAAGACCAAATTCTATCCCCAAATTTTCTGTTGACTGATTATTTTGCTCAGTCCTGGTTTTAAGACTTTAGTGACATACATAACCTGTAAAGTTTATAAGCAGGTTCAAGGTATGTACAATACCTGTTATACAGTAATTGACTCAAATGCTTCAGTAAGCAATAGAGTTATCAGTGAAGATAACATTCCAGTGGTTTAAGTTTGGAGACATGCTCAGTATTAAGAATCATCTCAACACTTCTAGTTTTCTACAAGCAGCTCTCAGCAAGCAGATTGTGAATTTTTCCATGCATCTTGAGGGTGTTGGATCACTGATTCAGCACATCCAGCACTCACAAATCCCTCCATCGCCAAGTACTTTCAAAATCAGCATTTCCCTTCATTCAGGAAACCCCTTGTCTAGTGATTTACTAACTGGGAAACAGAGGCCTGTGCTGGTGATTGTGTTCTACACATGCAATACTATTTAGCCTGAGACAGTGGGGAAAACATACGGCAGAGAGACGGAGCTTAATTTCTAAGATATAAATACTGAGAAACCTGACCAAAGACATGCAGGCTATAGGAAAAATATAATGTTACTAAAACAAATGCTCATGGTAATTTCTAACCTACAAAAGTCTGTGGTGAGAATAAGTAGCTTTAACCCAGAGACCAACATCTGGCAAGTGTCTCCAGAGAAGCAGAATAGAAGTTAAATATAGATCTCCTAGTTCATGGCTTCAGTATGAGTTTAAGATAAAACATAGCCCGACTCTGTGGCTATATTGCTACAAGAGAAATAACTGAATGGTCTCACATAGACAACACCTGACCAAACTCCAGTGTCCCTTAGTTTCCCACCTCCAGATGTTCACATTTAGCACCCAGCTCTTGATAGTCATGCTTAATTTTTACAGCTGTACCAGAGTTATATTTTGATATTATTTCAAATGCTCTCTTCTATTGAACAGTAAGTATTTTTATATATTATTTTATATATACATTTTGCAGTAACCATCTTCTCAACTAAGGATATGCACGGTATGTGTGTTGATTGCACAATGAACTGGTACCTGCAATGTATTGCTATTATTGCAAATACAGGGTTGTAGCCAAGTAAGTTTTACTCAAAGGAGACCTATTGATATTGATGGGACTAAGTTAGTCATGTCCATTAATTTCAGTGGGTCTGAATATGACCAGCTGGGTTGGATACAACCCAGAATATTTACTGACATAGTTTACATTTATCTGCCTTATAGTGTTGGGTACTTTCAGCTGTGCTATATTCGGGCTAAGGCAGGCAGGAGGCCCTTACTGTTTAAAGTCTGGTGATAGCAGTGTGCACATTTATTCTAAAATGGTTTTAATACTAGAAAGATTCAACATGAAGCACTGCAGAAAACTAGATAAGAAATGAGCAAAGGTTACATTGGTGGGGGAAGGAAGAGGATGGTGTGGTTTGCTAATGAGTATAGATCTGAGACTTCCTTTTATGATATCAGACATAACCTGATTTATCAATCAAAGAAAGGGTTTGGTAGAGTTCCACTCAATTAAGTCATATAGTTTTGCTTTATTGTGTTAGAATATGATAATTATGATATCATCCATGCCTGGATTTTTTTGTATTAGGGATTTGCCTAGTTGTTGATTTAATAAAGCTGAAAGGATTGCCTAACCAAATCAGATCTGTGTTAAATCTTTATATACTGACCTCATAGTGGCAAAGTAAACTCAGCACTAGACAGCAGACAAACCCAGACAGGAAGCAGCAATATAAATCAGATTCATATTGGGGAGGGAGGGGAGAGTAAGAATTCACAACACAATAAGGTACACAGTTAGTTAGTTAGTTACTTTCCTTTTTGTTTTTTTTACTTTGAGACCTTCTGCACCAATAAAAACCTTACAATATTGGCAAAAAACAATCCTCTCTGATGTTGGGTAGTCTAATAACAATCAATGTTTAATTATGTTGAACACCCAACCCCTTTTCTGTATGTAGGTCTTGCTAGCTTTTCTATTGCTTGTCTCCTAGGATACCATTTTATTGGACAGACAATTCCAAGATACAATAAAACAACACCAAAAACAAATAGCAAGCAATAGGGCTGAAACTTAAAAATAAGACAACAAGGCAGCTAAATGTCTGAGCAGTGAATACTACCATAAACACTAAGGTCTACAGCAGTTAGGAAAATAGAAGTCACCTCCAGTGACTGCTGAAGGAACCCTTCCAACTCTACAATTCTAGGAATCTATGAAGAAAAAGGTGCATGAGACTGAAGTAAAAGACTGCTATGACCTGTATGCTACGCGATGGTGTTGGAGACCCACTATAGAGGTGAGAGAGCAAAATGCAATTTTAACCTAGTCTGGAGAAATCTACAATTTCAGGTATTCTTCATTTTGTCACCTTTCCCCCTATGCTTACAAATAGTATTGTATGGTGAGGGAAAGGGAATTAGGGATAATGGGCAGATCTGTCCTGAAACTTGGAAGTGTGTCTGTTGTTCTGTTTCATGTGGTGTGACAGCTAAGGGGGCACTCAGACATTCACTCGTATACGAAAGAAATCTTGAATGGTGCTCAGTTTCTTGACTTTTTTGTGGTTGTGGGATCTATTAATCCTTTTTCTATTACACTCAGAACATACTGTTTATTTAAGGTAAAAGGGCTCCAGATTTCCAGTTTTACTATGCTGTTAACTTAAATATATACAGAAATATCAGCTCTGTGTGAGATAGCTCATTGGACTAAATGTGCAATACAGTGGTGCCTCACAAGACGAAATTAATTCGTTCTGCAAGTTTTTTCGTCTTGCGAATTGTTCGTCTTGCGAAGCAATGCACCCTGGGTATTAACGGTTTTAAGAAAAGGAAACAAACTTGCAAGACGTTTTCGTCTTGCGAAGCAGGCCCATAGGGAAATTCGTCTTGCGAAGCAACTCAAAAACCCAAAAACCCTTTCGTCTTGCGAGTTTTTCGTCTTGCGAGGCATTCGTCTTGCGAGGTACCACTGTAATATAACTCTCTGGCTTTAAACCAAATATTGGTTTCACACATACACCCTTTTAAGGCATAGTGGGTATCTCTTCATAACAGTTCATTGTGGACATAGTGCTGCTGATGCATGCAAGTTTTGTGTAGTGTCCACATGACACTAGCCTCATAAAATGATGTTCATTTTATTTTCTCATTTAAACCAGATTTACCATTTCTGCATAAAATCATTTATTTAAAAACACATGGAAATAGTAAAGCCAGATTAAGTGGGAGAGGGGATGGGACAGGATAGTGTTTTGCAGATGACAATGTCATGCGGATACTGAAAAACTTGCAAACACGAATAGCTGCACCATGTCCATAATGAACTGTCTTG